TGACAAAAGAACTGCAGGTTTTGCAAGCTGTTTTTATATATAAATCCAATGAAAAACTGCAAAATGATATGCATGCAAGTTTTCATTTGGGGTATATGTACTAAAAAGTGCTTTTTAATTTTTTGGGTATTTGGGCAGTGTATGATCATACGGTGTAACCAAATCCCCATATTTGTTTGCTAAAAAAGGTGATTTTAAGTAGTCACAAAAGATTTGAAAATGCATTTTTTTTGTGAAATTCCCATTATGTTACATATACTTTAGAGTATGTAAACATACCTATTGGTTATTTTACCAATTAGTAAATATTTCCCACAAAGTTGTTGAACTTGTTTACTTTAAAAATACATGATTGTTGCTGTCCAACAAGTGGTAACATTTTTTTATTGAAGCATTTGAAAATAACAAGTCTTTAAAACAATGGCACTTACATTAATCTCTGTAGCATTCATTGGTGGTTGCTAAGAAACTACAGTTTGTTAATAATTTTTTAGAGATCTTTCACATGACAAATTCCATTCAACATTTTATCTCAGAATGAGTGAAGCTCTTTTTAAGATCGTTTTGAGTAGTTTGTTTATATTCAGTAAAAATACCATTATCTATAGATCATCCTTTTGTACACCCTGAAAACTGCAACATTCTACCATTTGCTTAAAATGAAACAAAATGTATATATTTTGCTTTGAATGCATTGAATAATTTATCAAATACATAGATATTAATGTTGCAGATTTTTGTGTTACGTTAGATATAGTTTGCCTTTAGAACAATACATGCTTCATTTGAGTGTTTATGCAAAATGTGTTCTATGTCTTTATATTTGTTATAAAAAGAATATATGACAGAAAGACTCACACTTAATTTATTGATCATTTGTTACCAAGGAAACCTTGATGGTTGTGGCTTTTATATTTCTTTAGCGACTCTCTATAAACACGAGACCTATGAGATGCGGATGCAATAGTCTGGAATTGCTGTATCTTTGGTACATATAAGGCATTAATGGATTTAATTTTTTGCATGCTCAAGTTTGGTATGCTTATGGTCTGTGTTTCTCTGTAATATTAAATTATCTAAAATGTAGCCTTCTAAACCTTGGTTAGTGATGACAGAAATCAGAATTACTTATAGGTTAAAGAGCTTTTGCTTTGATTTACAAGTCTTAAACATTGCAGTAATAGTATGTCCCATACATTACAAGAATAGGCAGTCTAGCATCTCGTCCACACAACATAGGTCACAATAGACATCAAATAGGTTACAATAGTAATCATAGTTAACATCCGCTGCAGCACATATAATACAACTTTCTGCACCTTCAAGACCTGTCTTACTGAGCTACATGCCAGCTCAGTAGGGTATTTGGTTTCTAAGAGAAGTGCATGAGAACTGATGCAATAGTGTACCTCGCTACGTAAGCCTGATGATACGCGTTAATTACGTGACTTTTCTCTTTAATTAAGAGGCTTTTATCTTTGGTTTAAATTAAAGTGTGGGTCTGCCTAGGTCTAAAATGATAATCCTTTCCTTCTAATTCCAGGGAAATGAGCATTCTAATTTTAAATATTTTTAAATGTTTATATGTTCAAATACCATCCCAAATTCCACATCAATGACCCATGTGTGCCAGACAACACTGATATATTGCTTATGCAATAATTTCCCTTTGTAAAGGGAATCTAAGAATTAACCCGGGGTAGGCAACCTTTGGCACTCCAGATGTGGACTACATCTCCCATAATGCTCTTATGCCATTATGTTAACAAAGCATCAAGGAAGACATAGTCCAAAACATCTGGAGTTCCAAAGGTTGCCTATCCCTGGACTATACAGTAGAGTAGAAGCTACAAATTACACACAATCTGCCAATCAAAAATTAATTAAGCTGCATTAGAATAATAATACCTAACTAATACCACAATATCTATAATATAGTATGACAAAATAGAATAATACAAAATAATGTGTTTTTGAAGGTAAACTATGTAAAGCAAAAATACAAAAAAAATCAACCAACAAACTGTAATAGATTCGACAATAATGAACATATTTAGTTAAACAATATGAAATTTTTGTTACCGCTGACATATTAAATCATAAGAACAAACATTAATAGTGGAAAAACAAATATTAATTTTCAATTAAATATTATTTTCCCACTATAGAACTTTTCATAAGGTAAAGGGGTAAAGGTACATCACAACTAAACTGTGTACTATATAGCTCTGTTAGTAAATAGGAAATATGCTGTCATAGAATACTTCAATGTCAAAAGAAATAACTGCATGAAAATAGAAATCTAATCTGCATCTGCAAAATAAATGTTATCACTGTATCCATATCCCATATGAGTCTCCCATTTTATACAACAGCCTCTGGTGATATTAAGAGAACAATACTGGTCTGCAGAGACATGAGATCTATTTTGTTATTAGACATTTTCATTAAATCATTTCATTGCATTAGGATAAACCGACATACCCCTGGTAACCCCATGGGTGGGATTCCATATAGTAAGTTATTAGTTATTATCGCTAAATAGTACATCAGGTTAATGGAGTTTTTGCAGACTGAAAATTCCATTAACATACAATAACAGAATGATAGCAAGTTTGCAAGTGATAATAGTAGATGATGCATAGTATTGTTGACTAATATTCATGGATTTATTTATTTCAATAACACATATGGAATAGCAATCACCGACTGGATTGTTAGATCACAACTTCTAAATAATATACTTCAGTTTTGTGCATATATTTGAGGTTACAAAGAAATACTGTAGCAGACAGAGAATAGCACAGAGTGAAAAAAAATGGAGTGGGCATACTTCAAAGAGCAAGATAGTTTCATGATCAGGCCTACTGAGATAGCAAAATAATACAATGTGGGTCTAGATCCATGTAACTGTAAATTCAACATAACAGCCGGAGATACAAATCTAACATTACATTTAATCAAGATATTTTTGATTTACACTTTTTGTTCATGGTAACTTCCTGGAAATCTAGGATTTGAGTATCAACAGAAAGATACATAATTTATAGAATGTGCTTTAGTATAATAAGTAGTTTTTCCCTTTATATTTCTTAAATTCTTTGGAACTGTAGTCGCTAAACATTTAGTTGTGGTTGGTGAGCTAATAAACAATTTTCATTTTAGGCAAATGTCATCTCCAAAGTGGACAGTTTGTACCTAGATTTTGCAAGTTGTCAGAAAGCTCACTATAAGTCCATAATAAGTGAATACAGAAGATGCTCTTTGGAGGAGAGACATATTGCATTGAAAACTGGAATATGGAAGTCATGGTTTATTGGCTGGTCTTCAGAGGGAGGAAGATTACTTATTGGCTGCTTAGATAAAGCTCTTCTTTGCCTCCCACTTGGTACATGCTTCTCTCTGGTACTTCTTTTTGCTTCCAGTTAGTGCGCCCCTCGGTATTAAAGAGTAATGCAAATACCTTTGCTTGTAAAATAACTTACTGAGCTTTTGTGGAGCTGTATTCCTCATGTATGTGTTGGTTATTTGATGTGTTTCTAGCTACACAAGTCAAGACACAACTCCCTCCAAAAAAAACAAAACTTCACCTGGGTAACCCTGTATGTCTCTTAACTCCTGTTCTGCCCCCTTTGCCCATAACTCAGCCCCTTTTGTGTATTTTTAACTTTTTGTGTCTCTTTTTCCTCTTTTGCATCTTTACACTTTTGTGACCTCTAACTCTCTTATACTCCATTTTGTCTCTTATACTCCATTTTGGATGTCTTACCTCTTGTTAGTATATCGTATTCCCTATTTTGGATGTCTTCAATCCAATAGTGTATTGCATCGCTTCTTTTGCCACTCTTGTCTCCCTTACCATATCTATCTTACCCCCTTGCTTCCTTTGTGTCTCTTGCTCCAGTCTCTCTTAGCCAGGGAAAAAGAGGAGTTTGACAAACTCCCCTGTCCTCATGAGTTTTCCACAAGCTCCTTGAGGAGCCTGCTTGCCAGCCTCCTGCCCACCGACTATGGGCCAGGTCAGCAACTGAAAAGACCCATATTTTATTCCCCCTGATTCCCCTGGTTCGGCACTTTCCATTCGTGCGCATAGAACCGAAAGCTAGCTCCCTGGCGGCCGTTCGCATGGACCAAAACCGCAAATAGACTTCAGACACTTAGCCGCAAAAGCCCTGGAACTATTTTCGCCATGAAGACTTTACGGTTCCCGGTCGGTCCCCAGCAGCACTTAGCCGCGATTCTATGGAACTATTTTTGGCTATGGGACCATGCGTGTGGTCAGTCAAATTATGACTTCCAGTAAAATTCCTGAACCCCTGACCGATCAGGGTGATTTTTGGATATGTTGGTCACCCAGATCGGGGCTATCAGGGGATGTAATTAGGGGGGTTTATGTATTTTAAGGTACTTTGGGGTGTTTGGGAAATGTGTGTTTTTGTGCTTGGAAATAATTGAGTTTAATACAGTGCTTGACTCAATTATCTCCCAGGCACAGGTGAGGGACTATCTTGTTTTGAATGGGAATGTCCTGGATCTGAGAGCCAATGTAATCATGTGTATGGTTTTACTGTAGTCTACTCTCAGGTCCAGGGGGGAGTGGCCCTTGCATGGGGACCTGCATATAATGCCAGTTGTGGCTGCAATTAAACGTATTCCAGCTTGTACTCCCAGAACTATATGTAGTCTGGTTACTGAGGGCAGAAAGGGCTATTCTTTAACCTCTGTTCCAGTGTGGAGGATTCAACAGGGAAAGTCCATGTAAGGACTAGAGCTCCCAGGACTGAGTGTCATCCAGTGCCTAGGGGTTGCTAGAGCGAGTTCCCCATTCGGCTCCAGGAGAGAGTGGTTCCAGAGCCCCAGTCAAGCCAAGGCGACTGTGGGCAGAAGTGTTGCGGTTTGTCCCCAGCTAGGAAGCGGTTGTTTGGTGGACGTACCCAGTCGGGGTACAGGGAGCTCTGTTACAAGGAGGACTTGCAAAAGATGCTGTTCATAAGAAGCAGTTTTTGCAAATTGTTTTAAGATATACCCCCGATGAATACATGCATAAAAATGTATTCATCGGGGGTGTATCTATTAAACAGCGATTTTAATTTTTTTCTAACATGGGCAATGGAGTGTCCCTTTAAGGATATACAAAGGATATTACAATATGAGGATCACAGTTTTGCACTTATTTGGATCTTATATGTCTTGGGTTGGGACTAAGCACTATCTTTGATCTATTTAAAGAATTTGCTGTTTTTAAACACCCATGGGAATTCCATATTCCATTAGAAGGTATGGTATTTTTAGTGTGGCTCCGGTTTGTATATTTCCATACCCCTATGTATAATTTACACAACAAGGATCCAAAAGTTCAGGGTGCTGTGCAAGACACATATTTTCCAGATTTATCCTTTCTTTAAGTGTTTGTTATTTTAAAACAAAGTATAAGGCACGCTGATGCCCCTTCTGGTGGAAGGAAGGTTTTTTTAGCCTAATGTAAGATAGTGAGAGTGATGATGAAAGTGATGAGTTCCTGGGTTTCTGGCTTATTGTTCATGTTTTTCTCTAAAGGGAGTTTTTATTTTAATGAAAAATATTAAATGCTTTCTGAGAAAATCAATGTTGCCATGTCACAGAGCATCTATTTGTAGATGAACTTTAATGCTGTCCTTTTTTTCAGTCACAGCAGGAGTGTCAGGTTAAATGTAACCAGTCTTCACTTAGTATTTTAGGGCCCAATAGATAAATTGCAGGACATCGTAAGTAAAATGCGAGTACATTGAAAAGGTCAACTGCTACATTGATCTAAGATTCTGTATAACCTTACAATTATAAGCCATTCTTTGAATGACTCCCATACTGAGCCATAAGGACAAAAAAAGTGTTTCATTGTGTATCTAACCTTACAAATGAATTCATTATATTTATAACCTCATGTCACTTAAACTAAAAGCTGTGACTTGGAATCACGCAGAGAAAAAAAATAAAAACTATTGATGATTATTTGTTCACGAAATTCGAAATCTTTATTAAACAACTGAAACATGAGTTGAAAGGCTTTATTTTAATGTCTTGATTTCCGATATAACACGTCATTACAGTCATTTTCATTGCTATACATGTTTTCCAGTTGCGTGTATTCAGAACCGGCATACGCAAACAAGATGGAGCAACATGATAAATATACTTTAGGCATTTTTTTAAGAGTAGACTATATTGATAGTTATTCAGATTCACATTGACATAAGTTAGAATTAATAAACTGGTTCAATAGTAAGTTTTAGTAAAGTTTTTGGCAATTGATTTATCATGAAACAGTAAACAAAATAGACACTTGTCTTTTTAAAATGTTTTAATACCATCAAGATAGGTGATGTACGTGCATGTCATAAAAATTAATCAGATATTTTAAACCCTGTAATGCCTGACTCCAGTGTTTCACCTAGCCATCTACATGTGTTATAATGTCATATTAATGCACGGGATTAATCAAACTGACCAACATGTATTAGTGATCACACACTTTGTACCTGCTCTATTCTTCTAGTCTCCCCACATTTATTGGGTTCTGACATTTTTACCTTAAAATATACTAGTACTATTTTGCATAATGCAAATCATTTCAACCACATGATCACTGAACTGATATATAATTTTTATTGTTATTATTACTTTTTTTACTGTTAGGAATTTATTTTTAGAATCACACCTTAACATTGCTTGGTGTAGGTATATTTAGTGGATGGAGAGTAATTTAAATTAGGGTACTTTTAAGAGGCAGATAACAGGAAAAATATAATATAATAGTAGGTAAAGGTAGGCAGACAATGTAATAGAGCAGCAGGAAATGCTAGAAGAATGCTTGGTTGTATAGTGACAGGTATTAGCAGTAAAAGAGGGAAGTGCTCATGCCATTGTACAGAACACTGGTGAGACCTCACTTGGAGTATTGTACGCAGTACTAGAGACCGTATCTCCAGAAGGACATTGATACTTTAGAGAGAGTTTAGAGAAGGACTACTAAACTTGTTCATGGATTGCAGGATAAAACTTACCAGGAAAAGTTAAAGGAACTTCACATGTATAGCTTGAAGGAAAGACGAGACAGGGGGGATATAATAGAAACATTTAAATGCATGAAGGGAATCAACACAGTAAAGGAGGAGAAGAAAAACTACCACAACAAGAGGGCATAGTCTTAAATTAGAGGGGCAAAGGTTTAAAAATAATGTCAGGAAGTATTATTTTACTGAGGGTAGTGGATGCATGAAATAGCCTTCCAGCTTAAGTGGTAGATGTTAACACAGTAAAGGAGTTTAAGCATGTTTAAGCATGTGTGGGATAGGCATAAGGTTATCCTAACTATAAGATAAGGCTAGGGACTAATGAAAGTATTTAGAAAATTGGGCACACTAGATGGGACGAATGGTTCTTATCTGCCATCACATTCTATAGTAAAAAATACACACAAAATTGATAACTGTAATTTAAGGGGTTAAGTGTTTATATAGATAAATCAAGTGGCATAGGTTACTGATAAAATGCTTTTAGGAAAAACAACATTTCTACAGTGACCTAATGTTGGGAGTCTTCTTTTTTCTTTTTCATTATTATTTTTCAAGTCACCAAAGTTGGTCTTTGTTAAAGGATCCATACCTACTACAACTACTTTATGTAACATAGGAAATTGAACCCTTGTCATTTATGATTCAAACTACTTCTCATTAATCTCTTCAAAAGATATGATGGTACAAAGCAATCTGCATGTACAGCTTGGATAATTAGACAGGTGACTGGCAATAAAGCAGACCTTGGTAATATCTTAAAGGACCACTATAGTGCCAGGAAAACATACTCGTTTTCCTGGCACTATAGTGCCCTGAGGGTGCCCCCACCCTCAGGGTCCCCCTCCCGCCCAGGCTCTGGAAGGGGGAAAGGGGTTAAAACTTACCTTTTTCCAGCGCTGGGCGGGGAGCTCTCCTCCTCCGATCCTCCTTCTCTCCTCCCTGTCGGCTGAATGCGCACACGCGGCAAGAGCTTCTGTAGCGGCGCATTCGGCGTCACTAGAAAGCATTTACAATGCTTTCCACCAGGCCTTTCGATGCTCTCACTGGCGAAATCACGGTAGAAACGCATAAAAGCGCCTAATAACTGTCAATGAGAGACAGCCACTAGAATAGAAGGCGCAGCATTCATAAACATAGCAGTTTCTCTGAAACTGCTATGTTTATAAAAAAATGGGTTAACCCTAGAAGGACCTGGCACCCAGACCACTTCATTAAGCTGAAGTGGTCTGGGTGCCTAGAGTGGTCCTTTAATTATTTCTCATTCGAGTTGCTGATATGAAAGAATTAGGCCACCCTCTAGAAATCAAACATAGATAGCCTTGAAACTCATATGGATATTTTCAGTGATGTTAATATGTAAGTTGATAATATTCCAGATTTCATTTCGCTCGCAAGTGAAAAGACAAGCAAATGTAAAACAAATAGTTTTATTAGATTAATTTTAAAAACTGAATCAACAACATGTTTTAACTAATCAAATGAACTAAAATCAAACACGCAGTGAGATTGTGTGTATTTTCAAGTATTGATTTTAAAAAACAATCTTATCATGTAACATATTGCACTTACAATGCTTAGCTTGTCTACAAGATTGATTCCGAGCACGTTCGGTATATCCTTAAGTGTATTTTAAGATATCTTCTGCTTGATTTGCAAGGTCATAAAATGTTCAAGAGTACCTTGTAAAAAATGAATACAACTCTTATGCAACACAGGCCACTTAGGCCAAAGCATCTGATTTTCGCTCTTCGCATTTCAGACATTTTTTTTTTTTTATTTCCCCAAACTTAAAATTGTTTGTTGAAAGGCTGGAAACAAAAACAGTAGATCAGGTGGAAAACATGATAAAAGCTCTTTGTTGTTGAGTATGATTAGTAGTAGATACAACTGTTTTAACACACTAATTGTTCATACCTTACAACCTGAGGGCACAAACTCGCACTTTTCCAGGGTTTGAGCAATTCCACGAGGAGCGATCTATAATTTAATATTCCCTCTCTTCTCTTTAGACAGTTTCCCTAATAGCTTTACAAGATCAGAGAGGCTTTGCAACACAGAAAGTTAGAGTATATTAAAAATGATTTCTTGCAATTACTTTGCATAAAAAAGCTTTTTATTATCAAGTAACTGTTATATATAATCCATGTGTTGTATTATTAAATATGTGTACTTTGCTATGTACTCTGTATAAGATTTTTGATTATATTACAATTTCTTCTGAGATATGATTGTTATGAACAAAGAAAAATTGCACATTTCCATAGTGTGTATTGTACAAAATAACATTACGATATTCTGCATGCGTTAGTGTTACAGACACTAAAGCAAAACACATTTGAATTTAATAATACAGTGTTCTAGGTAATGTGTATGATTTGGGCTAAATAAAGCAGCCTAAACGAACAGATTCTAACTCTCTTGTTTGGTGGCATATCATAATTGTACAGTTTCCCCTCTATTTCCTAAACCTTTATATTGCTTGAATGAAATGTGCAGTTTTGATATTTGCTTTTGCATCTCAATTGTTTCTGTTCTACTGCATTACCCTGTAATAGGGTGCAAAGTTCTTGGCAGCTGTATGTTGTCACATTTATTTTGGCTGTCTCAGATAAGCTATTTAGCTTGCACATATTTATTTCAATGAGGAATACACCTGTTAACAATAACAGGTTTAAAGAAGAACTAGGTTGTGCTAAAATTTAGATTTGTTCATTCAGTTTCAATGGAATTGCTATTCGACCAAATTTGGGGTAATCAGGGATCCGTCCGAAATGCCGAACTCCGAAACTTTATATGGACAAATTATTAAACAAATGATATGGACATTGGGTGAAGTGTTCATTTGTTTAGTGATTCAACATTCCATGTGCAATGACAAACAGATGATTAATGAAAAAAAAAAGATGATTAGTGGTTAGGGGACAATAGAGGGAAGAAATGGTGGGGCAGTATTAAAAAAAAAAAAACAGAAAAAAAAAACATGTTTATATATTTAATATAAAAAAGAAACCAAGGGGAAGTGATTCCTCTTGGATATATAGGGAGGAAAA